TTTCCCAAAGTGCGAATCATTCGTCTGAAGGAGCGGCAGGGCCTGATCAGAGCCCGGCTGGCTGGAGCGGCTGTAGCCAAAGGTAATCACTACTTTGATCAATACTTTTTGTCATAAATGGTTTTTAATGTTTAGTTTATATATACATACGTGCATGGCGGAGGGAATATGTCCCACATAAAAGAAACATGAAGCAAACAGAAATCACAGAAATGTGTCAAATCATAGGGTCAGACTTTGTTATCATGAATGTTACACTGAAAACACAAGTGTGTCTTTGTCTTAGGTAATATAGGAATACTGATACTGTATTTATGTGACAACCCCACGATGACTTATTTACTTAGTTACCAAGTTTTATAATTATGTGTCCGTTGTGCAAGATGTCAACTCATTTGAGATGTGGGTACAAGATAATAACTGTATGGAGTACTGTATCATGCTAATCCATGTGACATGGTTAGAAGCACAGTTCAAAAAGACGTACAGTTTATAGGAGATGCTTTTTCTGCTCCTGTTCGTGCGAATGAGCTCATCAGATAAGTGTAGATTTCAAGTCTGAAATTTGCTTTTTTTAGAATCAGAATCAGGTTTATTGCCAATAAAGTTTTCACATATGAGGAATTTGCCTAAGAATCACAATGAAGCGTAGAATATATATAAAATGTATAGAAATATAAATAAATATAATAATAGAGACAATAAAGAGGAGCCACTATATACATGTATATAGAGTGAGAGAATATGTATAAAATGGCCAGATACTTGAATATATTTGTAAAGAGCTGTACAGAGATGTGGGGAAAAAAAAATTAATAAATTGACCAGGAAGTCTACAAGTTAGCAGTGTGACATATTTGCAAAAAAAACAATGGGTTTAACACCAGTGTAAAATAACAAAAACTAGGTTGAAGGATTATTTACAGGCTGTTAGATGGAAAACATATCCTGTGGGCTGGAGTTAAAACATGTTTTCTCAGGCGGTAACAGTGTAATCTTCACTTTGTGGTTGCAGTAAAAAGCACTGATTGAGTAGTTGTTTCAGGTATCATATCTGTTTGTGAAACCCAGTTGACACAGATAAATGTTTCTTAAATAGTTCAAAAGTACAGATAGTCTGTGACCCACTTGTCTCTTGCAAATCCAGACAGCTTGCAAGATGCAACTACACTTTCACCACTGCACACATTTTAGTGGATGTGTGCATTAAAATAATACCAATGTATGTAGGTTTATACATGGCATACACCTTGTAACAAACACAGTACTTAAACATGAGAGCAGCAACATTGAAAAGTTGTTTTCTTCAGTAGAAACCCCATTCAATGTTGCACCTGCTGTACAATTTTATGCATATTATTTACATAGATCAACAAACAACTGCCTTTGAAATAACCCTTTGATTGGTGTTATAAGGGTTGCACTGTTAACATGCAGATAAGACTATTTGTTTAACTGCAACAGGATGTTTGCTCTCCTCTAATGTAGGTGAGGTCCTTACCTTCCTCGACTCCCACGTCGAATGTAATGTGGGCTGGCTGGAACCTCTTCTGGAGAGAGTCTATCTGGATCGCAAGAAGGTGCCCTGTCCAGTTATTGAAGTCATCAGTGACAAGGACATGAGGTGACTCATATTACGCTGCCATATTTGAGTAAAAGACATGTGATGTGATCATGTTTTCTACAGTAATGTTTAATGCTTCTGTTCTGGCTCTTTCTCCTCAGTTATATGCTGGTTGACAACTTCCAAAGAGGTATTTTCAAATGGCCTTTGGTGTTTGGTTGGAGCGCATTACCAGACGAGTACATTAAGAAGAATAACATGACCATTGCAGATCCCATCAGGTGACCTACACAGACAGTTTTTATATTATTATATTTTATTATTATTTCTGCTGCGTTTTTATTTATTTGTTTTTATCTTTCAGATGTCCAGTTATGGCTGGAGGCCTTTTCTCCATAGACAAAAAATACTTCTATGAGCTTGGCCAGTATGATCCTGGCCTTGATGTGTGGGGTGGGGAGAACATGGAGATTTCCTTTAAGGTATATTGTCTCGTCTAATCCAAACATGAATTCAAACCATAGGTGTTTGGGAACTCAGCAGAACTCCTCTCACATGACTCGTTATCCCGTGTCCATTTGAACAGATCTGGATGTGCGGAGGGGAAATCGAGATCATCCCCTGCTCTCGAGTGGGACACATCTTCCGAGGACAGAATCCTTACAAGTTCCCCAAGGACAGGCAGAAGACGGTGGAGCGTAACCTGGCGAGGGTGGCAGAGGTCTGGCTGGATGAGTACAAGGACCTTTTCTATGGTCACGGGTACCACCACCTGCTGGATAAGAAGACCATCAACATCGGCAACCTCACAGACCAGATTGAGCTGAGGCAGAAGCTCAAATGCAAGAGCTTCAAGTGGTACCTGGACAATGTGTATCCAGATATGGATGCTCCCTTAGTGAAAGCAGAAGGCCTGGTATGTAGATGAATAAACTTTATTTACATTTGCCTAAAAGATCCCTTAAAAACTAGAGCTTGTTATTCTTTCCCTCCATGAAGCTATTGTTATCTCTGCTGAGAAATCCACCCAAACAGAGACTGTGATTGTGCTCCTTTGAAACAAAGAATAGCTGTCTATTAAAGCCTGTGACAGCTTTCTGTCAGTATTTATTTCAAGCAAATGAGAACAGCAACAAGGCCTATTTTCATGTTTTAAGGGAAGAAAAGTAAATGCTATCAGTGCTGCTGTTTCACTTCTGTAAAATGTTTCCTTTTGTAGATCTTTAATCGTGGCTTAAGAAAATGCCTCGCTCTGAAGGAAGGCTCTCTGTTGTTTGAGACATGTGATCTCAGCAAGCAGGTAGGTTCTTAGTGATTCTTCTGAATATATGCACATATTTTGCCATTTTGGCCTCATGACTGTGGTTATTGTGTAAGAATATGCAGGAATAGACCAAGATCAGTACAAATACAGTCCGAGTCCAAGACAAGACCCAAGCCACGATAAACAAGGGTGGAGTCCAATACGAGACCAGGCCTTTCTAAATGTGGTCTTCTTGGATTCAGAGCAGCCCACTGAGCCATCCTTCAAAATCTTAGTTTTCATGGAGCATAATTACACCCTTTTCACTCTTCTCTCCCTCTCTCTCTCGCTCTCTCTTTCTCTCAGAGTCAGCACTTTAATTACACCTGGTTGAGGCACGTTCGCCAGCAGGACATATGTGTCGCACCCCAAGGCAAGGGCAACGGCTTTGCTTTACAATTATGTGACAACGCCAAGTCTGAGCTCCGCTGGTTCCACAAATCCTCCAACTCTGCCCTGGTAGGTTTAGTTTGGGTGTGTCGTTGGCTTTGTCTTCTATCTTTTGTTTTTCTTCCCTTTCTCAAGTCTGTTATTTTAGTCAGAGATATTTCAGACAATGGTATCGGCCTGCTTCTAATTCACTAGAAGTGAAATATGTTGCTGTCAGTTGTGTAGTACAAATCCAAGAATGTTTCATCTTTGTCCGTTGCTCATTAATTATGTTGCCTGTTTTGTCTTTGTGAAGGCGGAGCATCTCATAACAGAGTTTGCGTCGCACCACATGTGCCTGGAGGCGGGGCCTCGGAGTGACATTCTGCACCTCAACCCATGCGAACCCAGCAACACCTTTCAAAAGTGGCAGTTCACACACTACCACGCTAAGTGATGAGACTGAAATGGGTTTAATATGTCAAACATGCACTACGGAGACCTTCAGTGGCCTCACGCTACAGTACAGTCGGTGGTCAGCGTCAACACAACTGTCCAGAGGAGGTGGGAAGCGCTTTGGTGGCAGTAATATGTGTGGTGTAAAATAGAGGGTGTGGGGATGTGCAATGTTTCCAATGTCCTTTTATCATATCAGCATGGACTAACCTTGAGTTTAAGTGCTAGTGCCAGAGGAAAGAGAGCATCTTCTTTCTTTTTTATGAAGATTTGGACCGGAGTTTGCTCATTTTTCGTTTTGTTTTTTTTTAGAAAGATCCTCTACACAGGCTTTTTGGGGAGGAGGGATGGGAAAGACTAAAGGGCTTCAGGTGAAAGTCTATAAAATAACACTCAAACTTATCTTTTCCCTGCCAAAGGTTAAAAACAGTGCCTCATATATTTGCAATGTAAAAAGTGATTTTTCTTTTTGTGTGTGCTCTGCCGGGAATGAATACTGAGTTTAATTGCATGTAATGTAGAATTTATTCATTTGTATAAAACACATCACATACTTTTGACGAGACATCTTCATCTTTGTTATGTACTTTATGTTTGATGAGGCACTTGGGTGAAACAGCTGCTTCTCTGGTTTTAAGTGCCGCTTTATTTAGGTGTGGGTTTTGTTGTGAAAACTGTCCCTTTTTGTCACTAGAGGGAAGTGTTGGTTCAAATCACCCAATAAACCTGTGCTGTGATTTCATGAGTGTTAACAAGCCCTTTAACTACATATTGATGGAAATGCATTTTCTTAAGAAAGTAAAAATAGAATAATGAAGATAAAGATTTCATTGCATGCATCTCTTTTTATTTGTTTCTTGTCCAATAGCCATTAAGGCATGTAAGAAGTTATGTTTAGTTGGTCACTCAAAAACACTTAAATCCACTCCAGAAGTTAAGATACTGAAGCTCTAATACCAAACAACACTACTACTTACTTGTTATAGGCAGTAGGATTATACAGCCCTGAGCTTCTTACTTATTTAATCTGTTGTTCAAGTACCTCCCTTACATAACAAGATGTTATCCTCCTAAAACCATGAAAGGCAAATATGAGATGGTTGTTATGCACTGCTCAGCAATTAGATACCAAACAACAGAAACAAATAGTACTCTTAATTTAGAGATCTTGTAAGTGACCTGGAGAGTAACATCAGAGATTTTCAAGTAGGTTTTTTAGAACAAATAAATATGTAAGCTGTAACATATGACATAGATGTACAATCAATTTCCTTTTAATGCTCATTGTTTTGTTATGTATCATGTTCAGCAGTGTTTATGTTCCTAGGAAAAAAAAAATCTTACAAATTCATCATCATGTACTCAAACTCCTCTATCTTCTGGCGGGTGTTGCCTCTGCGGATCTTGCGGTAGGACACGGTGCTGTATTTGGAGGAAGAGAGGTGGTTGAAGCATTTCGGCTGGACGGATTTCTCCAACAAAGGCAGAGTGGAGTGGCCTGGGCTGGGGTTTTGGTGAACAATGTCATGCATGTTGTGGTCTTGCTCTGGCTCCTGGTCCACCTGAAGCTGCCTGTCACCTGATATCTGGAGTTCGTCACTAGACATCTGCTCTGGGATTTCTGCCTCCCCATTTGGCTTTGTATAACTCTCCTCATTAGTTACATCAAAGGGTTCAAGGTCTGGTGTCTGTCCGTCTAGTGCCACTTCTTCCTCCTCTACTGGTAGATTTGCTGAAAAGAAAAAAAGGGGGTAATCTGTTTTGCACTCTGTAAACAAAAACCTTCCTCTCAAACACAATTATACAAAATTTCTCTTACCTTTTTCTGCTGATCTGTTTCGTGTTTGCATGTCTGCGCCTGTGAAGTTTGTTTGTAGAGATTCTCCACAGGCGCTCATCGACTGTTGTCCTGGATCTGCAACATCTGACTGATCCATAGGTTCAGTTTTTGGTGTCTGGAGCTCTTGCCGTTCCTCTCCTTGTTCGGTCAGAATGACCTGCTGAGTCACTTCCTTTTCCATCTCTGAATTATCTTTGTCAATAATGGGTTTTTCCGGATCAGGCCCCCCCTGTGGGATAGGTTCGTCAGATGTCACACTGTTGACAAGACGCTTGCACTCGTTGGCACCAAAATCACAAGATGTGTTTGTTTTTATGTCGTGATGAGCTTGGTCCTCATCACTGTAGAACACTGAGTCGTCTCCCTCCTCCATTGACCACACATCTCTGTCTTCAGCCTCCTCCAGGGTCTGGAGGCCCCCAAGAGTGATCCCACCAATGATCTCCAGGACCTGGGATGCCATTGCATCTTCTTCTACTGTGAGCCTTGGGGCCTTTGGAGGCATTGTGCTCGTCTCCATCTCCACCGTCCTGTTTTTCTTTCCACAATGATGCGAAAATGGTCAAGCTCCAATGCTTTTTCTGCAGATTATTTGTTAAAATAAAGCAGCCTCAGACTTTGCATTGTCTGCTCCAGCGTTCCATGTTATCAAAATACTTGTTTTCATCCTACATTGTCAAAGAGTGAAGGAAGAATCCATCCTGCATTTCAGTCGGCAGTGCAAGCGTGCTCCGTAGTACCATGTAATTCTGTGTACTTGTTGAATCACAGAAGAACAGGGGTTTTGTTGTGGCCCCAACAAAGACTCTTTGTGACTCTGGCATCTGCATGTGAAGTGATTGTATTCATTCTTTAATAATCTCTGCTGGGTGACCACCTTCATTCTGTAGCATTTTGAGTCCAGATTAACATTCTCCTATAGGTTTTCTTTACAGCAGTTCACTGCCTGAACCAGCAATGTTGCACAAGCTAAGCTTTGTTATGTCTTCAAGTGCATATTAAGACCTTTACATCTTAAGTAAGGCACCTGAAATGCTGATATAACATTAAGAAGACTTACACAAGTACTGAGGTCCTCTACAGGCAGAATTAATTTACTCAAGTACTGTACAATTTGGAGGTATTTGTACCTGAGTATGTCAATTTCATACTATATTTCAGAGAGGAATATTGTACTTTTAAACTTCACTATACTTGTCTGGTGCGGCTGTGGCTCGGGAGGTAGAGCAAGTTGATCCCCTACTCCTCCTTGTCCTTGAAGATACGGAATCCCAAATTGCTCCTGATGCTGTGCATCGGTGTATGAATGGTAGTTTCTGATTGTGATGGCCTTTGCCATCACTGTGTGAATGGCTGGTATGTAGTGTAACAAGCACTTTAAGTGGTCGGAAGACTAGAAAGGCACTATACAAGTAGAGTCCATTTACTATCTGAGAGCTGAAGTTATTTTTTACTTTTCAGTTTGAGATTTTATTAGAAATATACAATAAGCCTGTAAGACAGGGCTCTCAAACTCCAACTCGCTTGGGGCTACGGCTGCTATTGTCATCTTATAGGAGGGCCACTTAAATGTTCAAGTACCACAAGAAAGCACAGTATTTCTGTAAATATTCCATTTCTAAGATCATACTTAACAATAAAATGCAAACAGCAGTTTCTATGAATGCTTATATCTTCATTTTATATCATCTATGTTCTTTCCTGCTCTCGTCTAATCCACTTATTTGCCTTTGACCTTTGCCATTATTTTTTAATAATACAATTGTGTTTTTATTGTAATTGTATATGAAGGAGTAGTTTAAACTGATATAAATCATGTAGAAAAAATAATCTTTAAAACTAATCTTGCAGGCGGATTAGATATATCACAGACTGGAAGGAGGGGGATGGAGGCTGGGAAATGGCCCCCGGCTCTGCAGTTTTAGACCTTGCTATAAGATACAACTCATTGTTAAAAATGTTAAATAAAATAAACCAGTGGTTGCTAACGTTTTTGTGCCCTCTTGCAAAAGAAGGTTGCTGGTCCTTTTGTCAGAATTCAGATGTCTATGAATTGTAGCACTCACCAAAAAGACATTTTTCCTCTAAACTTCTCACAAGGTTTCAATTAAATAACTTTTCAAGGTACAAAGAGGTAAAACGCTTAGAGACTAGAGAAAGGTAAATAAAACAAAATTAATACAGATTCGTGGCACAGACCTTATTCCCCACCTCTCTCAATAATTATTAATGATCCCTGAGATTTATGTTGCGACCCTTTGGAGGGGTCTGACCCTTAGGTTTAGAGCCACTGGACTAAAGAAACTGTACATAAAGTAGTTAAAGCCAGTTCCACTTGTAAAACTCACCCTCATGCATCAGTAGTGGCAATGTAATAATGACACACACATATATATATATATATGGTGATAATGCCCCACTATATCTGTCTCTGTTTCTCTCTCTCTCTCTCTCTCTCTCTCTCTCTCTCTCTCTCTCTCTCTCTCTCTCTCTCTCCCTGTCTGTCTGTCTGTCTGTCTGTCTGTCTGTCTTTAGCAGCAGCAGGAAACCGAAGAAGTGAGACATATTACAGGAAATGTGTGGGGTTTCTCTTCTCAAGTTTTGTTTGCACAACTGTTGTGCATTGCTCAGAATAATATTTGTTTCTGTTTAAGAGTAAATGATGTGTGTAGCACCTGCATCATCAACAGGAATCATCAGTGCAGTTCTTGTATGTTGAAATTGTACTTTAGAATGAGTGTGCATTATTATCTGGTACCTGAAGGAAATCAGTGCTGAGTTGATGAGACGTCACAAGTTTATTTTTTATTTTATTTTATTTTTAAGTATTTTGCATGCATATAATCTTGATTCGATATCAAAAAATAAAGCGTGACATTCTCTATTTGAAACATACAAATTTCAGAATTTACAAAACAGACACTGAAAGTAAGTTGTATGCAGCCTGAAAATTATTTTGGAAATGAAAAGAGTAAAGTAGTACCTCTTCTACCCACATCCTGTTTTGAGCTGAGCAGCCATCTATACAGAGTAGAGCTTTGGTTTTGGTTTTCAGCACCTGAACGTGACAGAAATACTTGAATGTTTACCTGACCTGAAAAATGAATGGTGTCTATAGTATCATGTATTTTAGGTTACAACAGTCTCATTTTAAAATTCAAGTTGCTACATAATACAGCTACAGCAGTTCAGACTGATATGATTAATGCTGGTCACACTCATACATCACCATCTTGTATGTACATTCATTCAAGCACGTTCAGAGGAAGAACATTTTACATTTTTATAATGCTTCTGTGCCACCACAAGTCTAAGCCCAACAGTGAGCCAGGCTCACCTTAACGGCTCAGGGCCCTCCTGGGTAAACTGACACTGACAAATGCCAAGTGCCGCAATGTCCATCATCTCTGTGTCCACATAAAAGAAAAATGCTTATCATTTTTAAAGGGTTAACCCGGCCTTGTGTGTGGGTAAACACTTCATTGGTGTCTATTTCTTTCTGTAACTTGTTCAGAGCAGGAGAAACTTTGTTAACCCTCAGTATCAGGTAGACACAGAGTATGTGAGCAACATGTCACTAAGTGTTTGTTCCAGTCTCCTCCTCTTCAACTGATCGCTGGAGTCCAGGAATTAACTTGAAGATGTGCTTGCGAACACTGGCTCTCCTGCTTTTACGGGGCAGGGTACCAAACAAGGAGGAGATCCTTGTTTCGTCCCAGGAAGGCGATAGGGAGCTGGTGCTGCCGGCCAAACTGGAGCTGCTGGAGCGGCCGAGGGATTGGTGATGATGGCTGGATGAAAATCTGCCCGAGCTGTCCTGTGATTGAAAATCTCTGGAGAAGAAGCAGCCGTCGTCTGCGGTGCTGGATGCACTGCAGGGGCTGGGAGAGTTCAGATCCCCAAACACACTGGCCTGGTCGCTGTCATCAGTCATCACACTCCTGTAGCTACTGTCACTAGAGAAACGCCGGCCACATCGGCCTGTGGGGGAGCCCAGAATCTGTGCACAGTCCATTGAGAGGTGGAGGCTGCTGTTGTTCAAGTTACCTGAAAACATAATAAAGTCTGTGTTAACAAAAAGGTTCAGCTGACGAGAAGTTTGCAACAGGAAGTTCGTCAGAAGCTTTTATGTTCATTTCTCGGGGGAACTCCTTTTTCTAATTTAATTGGAGTTTACACTTCAGTTCACTTCAAAAACAGTGTCGCTTTAGAAACAGGACAATGGCTGTGTGAAAGGAAGTGCTGTGGTTTGACAGCTAAGCAAACACTCTCACCTCGCATTAGACGCTTTTCCTGTAATGTAAGTGCTTGCAGCTCCACCAATTTCTCACGTAGTGATTGCTGTATAGATAGAAAAGAAACATATGGTTTTACTTCCAGTAAAATTCTCAGAACATTTACATCTACATGATCTCAGTCTAAAAGCACACAGTTAATCTACAGTGTGGGTTTACTTGTGAAATGTTGGCTGTAAGTGGTGTAGCACTAGGTCACTGTAATTAACTACAGGGTAGCAGTTTTGCTCTTGCATTATAACCAGCTGCGTTTGTGTGGATTAGTAGCAGTAGGTTTTAGGTTGCTTAATACCACCAGAGAGCTAAAGTATGTCACCATCAAATGTGGGCACGGTCAAAGAGACATACCTTAAGCAGGTTCATGCGCTTCTCCAGCTCTATCTGCTTCACTACATTCCCACATACAGTCTCCATCCTGGAATCACATAATGATACATAATTACACACACTTTCATCAGAAAACACTGCTGTCATGCTGTAAAGATTTCTGTGCAGTTTATAATCATTGTTGTACCAACAGTCTGTTAAGTTTTTCTCTCTGTCACTCACTTCAGACTGTTGATTGACTCTCCTATCAGATCAAGTATCTGCTGATGAGATGATCCCTCAATGCTGACCCCATTGATAGTGACGATGATATCTCCTACAACAAATGAGGATGCAAAAAAGGAAGTCATCATCAATTACGAGAAAACAACATGCCTTCGCATTGTATATATGTGCATTGGTGTGTGTGTGTGTGTGTGTGTGTGTGTGTGTGGGTGGGCAGCGTGTACGTTTGTGGTAAGTGATATAACAGTCAATCTTTATGTGATCAGAAAGGTATAATAAGGTCTTATGGTTTTGCATGTGCATGAAAGCCTGCGTGGAAGGTTCACCTGCGGTTAGGCCAGCATTCTCAGCTGCACTGTCCTCCTGCACGTTGCGCACAAACGTACACATCTCCACTGCAGAGCTGTCCTTCAGCTGCAGGCCATAGGTCTGCAACAAGAGACACAATTTGTCACAAAAGCTGCTAAAACAATACTTTTCCACAAAAAAAATCTTTTTGCCCCTCCCTTCCCCTCAAAGATATGTTTTTCTTCTTGTTGCTAGAGTTTGATGTTTAAGTTTCACAGTGCAGAATGATGTACATGCAGAACACATTAAGCAGACTATTGTAGACTGTGTCTTCATATCTTTAAACATGGAGCAGAATTAAAATAAATAATTCAAGATTAAAAAGCATGACAATACATATGCACTTCTTTATAATGTAGATAAAATCTGATCATGCTTACCTGAATTTCAAAACCAAATGTTTCATTGTCTTGTTTTTCTAGTACAATTGTGGTCCTGTGCAAAAGACAAATACAGAAAAAGAGAAAATAAATGTTTTAGGAACTACTCTTTGTGTACAAAAGAACAGTCAAGTAATCTCCTTTAATTGAAAATGCAGAAAAAACAAAAAAATGCAATATATAGTATTTTGCATGTAGTAAAGCTAAAGGTGAATGACAAATTGCACATCAGATTTTAGATATTTACCTTTGTGGGTCAGAGTAATCAACCAGTGAGTTGGAGTGGGTTTGTTTGGGCTGCAAAAGGAGAAAGTTCCTCTTTAGAACAATATAATGAATTTACATTTTAAACCTATAAGGAAACTATGTAAGAACATGTTAATCCTATAGTGTTACATAACTCAAAAGATTAAAATTGTTAAAAGGCTTTTGGCCAGTTGCAGGGAGCTGCTGAGTTTTTATTTCACAGCTGGTGGCAAATCAGGGAACTGCTTCCCATTATAAAACAATATAAAAGAAAGATTATATGTGATTTAAATTGTGAAATAAAAGTGTGTGTGTTTACACTCTATCTTCCAGCAAATGTACTATATATTACACTTGATTTATTGTCTCACCTTGTGTACCCTGGTCATAGAGCCTGTGTTCTGCCGGTGTCGATCATTGTTTCCCTTCAGTGAACGTCGGTACCACAGGGAGCATTTCTTCCTCAGAGTATTATCCAGAATGTAATTCTCTTGGCTGCCCTGGCGTTGAAGTCCATTGAAATTCATGGTGGCCTGCATGGTAGAGTATTCCTCAAAGCACCATCATGTTCTGCTGCAGCAGGTTTTCAGTGATTGTGTGGCCCTGCCCTGCTGTGCAGCAAAGCAAAATGTGTCAAAGCGGAAATCCACGTCATGTGATGGCTGTGGTTTAGAGACCTGCATCTCTAGACCACAGCCTCACGTACCTCATTTCCTGTGCACCTCTTTTATATATATATTTTTTTTACGTTCTTAGTTCTCTTTCTTAAGAAGGGTGGCTCTTTTGAAATGCAAAGGAAGAAGGATGTTCAAGTTTTTGATCAGTAAAAGTAAAATAAGTATTCCCCTTCAAACAGTCCCTTTCCCTTTTTGCAGTCTTAGCAATCCGATTTATGGTCTGTCAGAAATCAGCAATGCATGAGAAACTGCCACCTCATGCCTCCACCAGCACCTGCTTTCAGCTGCTCTAGCTCTCAGTTTCTCAATGGGCTAAGCTTCAGTTTGAGCCTGAGTCCTGTGTTCTGCCAAGCAGGGAGACTTGTCTTATGAGGACAGACAAAAGGCTGATTTAGCTTGGGGCCAGTGTCACGCTCCCCAAACAGACAGCACGGGTCATTGGGCAGAAGGCATCAGACATGGTTGGGTTCAAAAGGGAAATCACACACACAGGCCAGCAGTCAGGGAGACTATGGCTGATGGGTTAAAGAAAACTGAAACACAGTGCACTACCACACCCGTGCCTTCAAAGGGTTCACTGTTTACCCTGCAGGAAAAGACTATCATCTTTCACTATGCACAAAAGCTGAATTTTTTTGGTGATGAGAAAATCACTTTGAGCCTCATTACTGTATATATAACCAAGTTGAAATACTTCTTAACAACTAGATTGCCTCACAGCAATCCCCTCTGCCCCACTAGTCTTCAGTGGGCTGTTGGCCAACCAACCTCGGGACTGTCTGGAACACAGATATCCCATTTCACCACTACGGTGCAAATTCCCATCCACATTATTACTACTATAACTACAGAAACATATGCAAAGTGTTCTTTCTTTCATATTACAGTCTTTTTGGTACAAAATTATGTATTGTTTACTTAAAGGACCAGTGTGTAGGATTTTGTGGCATCCAGCGGTGAAAACTACGGTAGCCAAGGCCCTGTCTACAGCCAGGGTTTGGTTTGTTTGTTCTGGGCTACTGTAGACAAATGGCAATTCATGCCAGACTCTGTGGAAGGTGACTGTGTTTCTAGATATGATCGTTCTAATGGAAACACAACAATTCTTATTTTCAGGTGATTCTACACTAATGAAAACATACCTATAAATATTATATTCCATTTCTATACATATATCCTCCTAAATGTTACATGTTGGACCTTTAATGAGCTGTTTATAACTGTTTCTATGGACATAGTGTGTGGGCATGTGAGTGTTGTTTAAAGACAGAATTGAAAAAATGTGAGCCCATCAAGTAAAGTTAAAATTGTGAAAAAGCTAACCCTAACATCACTTTGTCACTTTATCCTTTGCTCACTAGTTTGTGTCGATATAAGTGACACAGGGTAACCTCCCTTGTCACAGTAAAATCTGTTTAAGCTTAACTTGCAGTACAATCTTCAGGCTCTGACTCATTTTCAGAGTGCTGATGGCCTCAGTCTAACGGCTTAATTTCCTCTGTATAACGGACGCATCATAAACACCGCACGTAGATAGAGCAGTAGAACAGAAGCCGAGATGACTCATGTCATTTAAGGTAAGTCTGTGATGGGGAAAATGAAAATGACCTGTTTCAGATACAATGCTCTGGGAAAATTATTTCATGCAATGTGCACAGCACTGCAAAATCATTGCTTTCAGAACTACAAGTGCCATGTAAGACATTTTATACACACAGAAAAAACCACAGAATCTTCTTATTATAAAAAAGACATGAAAACAGGTGACTTCATGAAAAACAGTTTATTGACCCACTGATATCACTTATTTCTATACAGAATAAATAGTGCAAGAGAAAAGATACAATGCAATGGCTTGAAATCTGATCAACAACACAAAACAGTTTCACATGAATCCAAAACATGAATCTAAATCAAAAGTAGGTCTTAGTTTATGAAAGCAGTATCACTTGTTAATATTTAGCAATTTCATATACAATATATAAAAAAAGACACCAGTCAGAAATTGCACATGGTGATCACTCCTCTTTGGAATGACTGATAAGTCTTTTATATGTTTAGCTATCAGTTTTTCTGTGTCACCTGTCTGATTCTTTGAGAAGCAGATATGACACAATAGACAAAATATAAGCTTGGCTCAACATAGATTCAACATCAGATAAAAACAACTTTACACTACAACACGGGCAGAGCCAGACGCTTTAATACTGTATTTTCAATATTTCCTATCTGTAATATGCAACACATAAAGTCGAATGATTCCATTATTAAAGTCGACTAATCATTTCACAGAAACAAAATCATGAAGACTTGCAAATGAACTGATATTTGCCAAGAGAGCAACAGGCTACTGTACATAGCTTATTTTCAAGAGGCAACACAGCTGATGCTTTATCATCCAGTAATCATGACACCTTCACAACAGTAGAACATGTATATGTGTCAACACTGATACTAAGCAGCTACATTGAACTGTGTAACTCACCGTAGCAACTAAAAACATAAACATTTACTGAGGACGAAGAGCTAGACATGAATTAAAAGCCATGATGGATGGGAAACATGGGAAAGTTTTCTCCGAAGCACCGGTTTCAGGAACACTGCGATGATTAATCAGATTCACACACAGGATCACTTCACATGATATGAAACACACATGCACACACAGGCACCCCTGCACACACGTGGGAACGCACAAGCACACATGGTGTACAGTTTAACCTGTGAGCACTTTCCCTAAGCCTGCTATAACAAGACCTCATTTTATAGACCTCATCGGACAGTGGCATTCGTGAGCATATGTGCACCCATCACCCAAACTGGGCTCTCCAAGTCAAATGTCTTCAGCTGATTTACAACAAAATAACAATGTAGACAATTAATAATATATACTTGTCTGTTCTGTGTTTTGTCATTATCCTCTTGTTTTATATTTATTGACTTTTTTGGCTTCATCAAGATATTTATCAAGATCTGATCTTATGTTGTGTCTCAAATTATCTGGTATAATAAGAAACTTGGTGCAAAACAGCATCAGGCTTGTAAAATAAAAATGTGCTGTGTGTGGTTGTTAGATTTCCCTGTTAAAAAAAATTGGAGCGATTGTTAACAATACTGAAATTCAATTAAAATTAAAATTAAATTCTAAAATTAAAAAAAGTTTGGACTTGTGCATTAGGGCAGCTAAGATTTCACAATTTCAATAACATGCTTCCAGCGTGAATAAATATATTCGAGAAATACAAAACATAACTTCATGTATGAGCTTTCATTTGTCAACAAACTAGCATTCACCTGTCAGAGAGCAGCGCTTTTCAGTGACTAAAAGCTTTAAATGTGCAAAATTTATAGAAAGAGTTTATATCTTCTTTTTATGTAAAGGACAAGACAAAAAAAAGTATATAGCCACTGTAATGATCCCACAAGGCAAAAGTCAAGCTTTTGAATAACTTCTAAACAGTTTACTGTGATGATTATGGGATAACCCAAGACTCAACTCTTATTAGTTTTAGCTCGACTGACTTAAAGTCAGGGGATCATCAAAGTTCTTAGGATTCATCCTCTGGGGGCCACAAATGTCTGTGCCAAATGTCAGTGTGATCCATTCAGTATTTGTTTGGACCACCAGAATGAGCAACCAATGGACTGACTGATTGTCACTGTGGGAGCCACTGTGGTTAGTCAGAAATTAATCACACTTAAAACCCACTTGAATATATATATATATATAGATCCACTTTCACTAGGAAATGCACAGTTGTATTTCTGTCAATTGTTTCATAACCTTTCCATGGAGCTTTCAACAAACCATGTGCAACTATGCAAAAGCACTTCAAAAACTTTAAAGCTCAAATTATCAGGGACAAATTAAGTCAGTACCAGTTTGGGCGATTTATCCAGTATCCTTCGTGATTGTCAGTTAGCAGACTACCTACCCAGCAATACTGTGTTTGCTACAAGATATGGCACAAAAACATCACAATGTGCAACTTTAAGCTTTGGGCACTTAAATGTCTGAGGTAGCAAAAATAATCTGTATACATTATACATACTCTTATTTCATATGGCTCTTTCTTCAACTGTTTGGTTCAAACTGTTTTTATTAGGTGTCTATGTGCAAAGCAGCCACAGACACCTCCCTCTACAATACTTTGGCACCAAAAAAAACAACCTGAACCTGCTCTCTGAGGATGAACAGTGTGGTTGCGTCCTGAAGAGGGCAGCCTCAGGCAGTTGGAAAGAACAGTTTCTCCCTGTTCGTTTCCAACAACTCTCAGTCCATCATGTTGCACCAGTGCCAGCACCAGTGCTGATCCGCACGACAACAAATCAAACTAATCTTTGACGTCCTTGATGACAGACAGCTGAGACACCGTTTTCTTGACCCGCAGAGCGGTGAGTCGAGCAGCAGGGTTGGTGTACCAGCACTCTCTCATCAATTTCCCCATCACACGCAGAGCCTGGTGTATCAAAAGGGAGACAGTACTATTTATTTAAAAGACAACAGTGCCAGCTTCTTACCTTAAATAACATAAATACCAGCAGCTTCAGTTATATGCACCTTGACTCTTCCATTACTTGATTCTGTATAGATAAATTCACTATAGGTAAAGTTATTGGAATAACATTTTATATGGAGGCCAAAAATGTATAATGTCAGAATAACAGAAACAGTCTTAGCCCCACTATCCCTCTGTTAGGTATTGGTTCAAAGTGAAATGAGTTGAACCACATCTCACCAGTCTGAGAAAAATGGACAAATGGACAAATGGACCCTGCCCTGTCAATAAATCCTAGTCAGTATCCTAATGAAGGTGGAGCTAAGAAAAAGGTGTGTCATCCCTCCTGTGCTGGTGAGACTTTGGAGATTTGACGTCTTTCCCGCAAAACATACCGAACCTTTGAAGGGAATTTCTGGTTTCATACAACATGGGTGTTATTTTTGTAGTTTTTATCCGACATTCCTTTCTTTAATAATAAAATCTGATTAATTGCTGAGATCTGGGAACACGGCAACATCGCTACAAAGTAGTCTGAGGGCAGTCGGACGATCAAACAAACAAGCTTCTATAAGTAAGTCAAACTTATCTAAGGGGAAAAAGAAGGCTGTAAATTATATCCTGGACTTCCTGGTTAATATTTAATCTGCCTCACTTCAGGGTTCAGTATGCATTTATAGCTGTTCTGAATGGCCACACTTTAATTAATAAAGAGCAACAAGACACAATTATCCTTCAAATAGGTGTTAACAGCCCACCCAGTTTCAATCTCTACTTAAAGCCATTCATGGTGTTACACTCGCTTGTACACACAAAAAAGTCTGTGTCTATAACGGAAAAAGCAGAGCTTGAGAGAGACTTGCAAACCCTTCCTCAATCATTGCGTGAAGCAGTCGTGATTGTCCAATTAGTCAGTTTCAGAGAGCAACAACTGTCGAACACAGTCCCTCCTAACCACGGGATGTTCGACTGACTGACAAGCACTTGTTTTATAGCATACTTGGGCATTTTATGTAATCATACTGCAGATCTTCATGTTTACCAATATTTCTTGGGCGTCCATTTTTTATTATACTTTCAAATAAAGTCATCTGTTGTCGGACCACTCATGTTTCTTCGCATTTCTTGCCCCCGTTGTATTTGTGCCACCATATTCCCAGATCTCAGCAGTTACTTTGGCAAGTACAATGTTATCATAACTGATAGGAATGATACTACGGAATACTGGTGGAAATTACAAATCGCTTTGCTGCAATTGTTTTGTTCAGTTAAGATTTGTTGTCAATAATCACGTAAATGTAGTTCATTTTCTAAACCAACTAATCTCAACATGTCTTCAGTTCAGAAGTTAGTCTCATTCAGTTAGTTTCATTCAGTTCAACACAAACTAGACCAATAAAAGCGCTGTTAATAATCTTAAAAGCTCAGTAGCCTGCAGGTATAAACTGTAGGTCTTTCAGTAAGCCTTTATCCATAAGTAACATAGTGAACAACTGAGCTGAAGACAGTGCTTTCAGTCACTAGTGAGGGGAGCTCCAGTGCTACAAGCTACTAATCCACTCAGTTAAATGACAGTTCAGGGGAAGTCAGTTCAGTTTGCTGATCAAGCATTTGTTTATACGTGTACTCTACTGTAAAAAGAACACCTGTGTTGCAGTAAACCAGATTTATCCTCTAAGGACCTGGCATGTTATGTCTGTTTTTGTTTTGTATCTGACTTTCACACACGTTGTAATAAGTTAGTTTCATAGTCAGTGATATCAGTCTTACTGTCTCACCTCACAGCTTTGCCACTGGTTGGGGACGCTGGGTCTGAGTTTCTGCTCACACACCACTTTCCTCATGTCCTCGATGGTCGGATCAGAAGGCACCAGGTCATAATAAGGCAGCTGGAAATCTTCTTGAAGTCCTGGGAAAGGGACAAAGATGGAGATTTTGTTTATCATGCTTTTCATCACCCCCCTCCTTAATGACACACAGGACTGATGATGTACAATGTACTGAAAAACATAAGGTTAAGAACGGCAGATGACTAATACTACTAATACTTGCAGTTTCATCAGTGATGTCGTGTATGTACTATGAGTGCCACAGTGGAGTTTTGCTGATGACTTGTGCCATGACACATGTCCATTAAATGTTGCTAAAAATATCAACAAAACGAGTGGGAGTGTATATGTGTGTGTCATTTAAAGTACCCCTAACAGAGCATCTTCGGGCCAGTTCCCAGAACACCAGGCCTAGCGAGTAGATATCCGCCCGCTTGAATGACTCAAAGCTGTGCATATTGATTGTCTCATCCAGGATTTCTGGAGCCATGTACCTGCAGGGAACAAAATGATTAAGGCCTAATGAAATACTAAAGTGAGTACTTCAAATTTCCTTAACTGATTTGTGAGTGGGTTGGTTGTCCCAATCTGAATTGAAAATCCTATAGCAACTTCAGAGAAAAACAACTTCAGTTCATCACTCTGAATGTAAAGAGACTCAAACTCTATATTTATAGGAATTTAGGAATAAAACAAAACTGATAGCACTCATTTATGGCTTTAGTTTTACAAAGATAACAGCTTGTTTGAGCTTTTGATAGTACTGCTTTATAAATAAATTAATGTTAATAAACCATCATAATAATATTAATCACTTTACTAGAAGAAAATATGTGTTTGTAGTGTCTCTGCATCAATCCTATTTGATTTCTAATACAAAATAATTTGAGGTTTCATGACTTTTGTTCAGCGTTTTCCTCAATAGACCTTCAACCACGCTAATTATTTCATTACTGCACTGTGTACACACCCAGATAACAACACTCTGTCAACAAACAGCATATTATTTTAGGAATCATTAGTGGGACTGAATGTGTATGACACAGTGGAAACCCAGTGGATTATGGATATTACTTTTCTTGCTGAAAACAGTGTCTAAGAAGCTGGTTCACTCCATGCTGCGAGCCAATTACAAGTATAAACATTTAAAATGTGTGGTTGATTATTATAAGCTGTAAACTCCATGCTAAAACTAGTACATCAAATAAATTGGACCAGCTTTAAAGTCACTGCAGTTTCATTTCATGTTAATATTTTGTGTGTGTTAATTGTGTGTTTAACCAACCTCTTGGTTCCCACTCTGTGGTTGGACGGTATGTCAATGGTGTTGGTGCTGGAGTCGTGCTTCACAGCCAAACCCAAATCTGCAATCACTGCTGTGCCGTTCTTCTTAACTAGGACATTTTTAGACTTTAGGTCTCTGTGAGCAATGGCAGGTTTCCCTAGAACCAGGAAGGCAACAAATAAGGTTTATACCAAACATGTCCTATATCAGTTGTTCCCAACCTTTTTCTGTCATTTAGTAAACTGACAACCCCCTGGCTAAGTGACATATTTTATGGATATTTCATAGTATATTCAAAACTGTACAACAAACCTAAATAATGAACTCAGTAACTGAAAGAAGTTTGTGTAAAATTAGTGATTGGGATGCATTTTGAGCAGATAATTTCCTGTTTGGGGAACTTTTTATACAATCTTCTGTCTATATTATGTATTTTTTATCATTATTAAACAATCATACAGACTTAATAGATTTCTTTTCTGACAAATTCAGTGTTTTCTTGTCCCTTTCTTGTCCATTGTTCTATTAGACAATGTACATTACATTTACTTTTCTTCACATAAGTGAACCAAATGCTGAGATATAGGCCTACTGTGCATGTCTTAAGGTTTCCTAGCAAGCCTTAAAACCCCCCCTGAAGCTTTGACGGCCCCCCAGGTTGGGAACCACTGTCCTATATCACTGCAAATTGATTATTTGGGGGTTTAGGACCATTGGTTGGAAAAAACAAGACATGTAAAGACCTAACTTTGGGATCTGAAAAACTGTAATTAACATTTATTTTGACATTTTAGAGACTAAACGACAAATAAATAAATTTTAAGTAAAAACAATCTTTAAATGTAGCCCTAAATTACAGTCTAAATGTCTAAATTATCAATTGAAAAACTGTTCTAAGGGTACACAAGCCATAACTGATGCAATCTGGTTTAAGACTAATTTGAATCCCACAATATAACGACAGTACCCAAGAATTCATGTTCTTCATTCATCTAACACAGCCTTACCCTGCGTTCCAATGATTTCCATGTGGAGATGTGCCAGGCCGCTGGCTATAGACAAAGCGAGGACGATCATGCCTTCCACAGAGAGTGTGTACCTGTTCAGGTAGTCATACAGGGAGCCATGCTCATGGTACTCTGACACCAACCAGAGCTGGGTCCATGAGCCATTATCTGCAGCACACAGCAAATAATACAGTCACATGTTGGTACATTTAAAATAGGACTGCATGGTATGGTCTAGATGATGTGAAATGTGTTGGGGTCTGTACCAAACAAACATGTTTTTCTTAAATCTGGAGAACACGATTTGTAGACCATGGCATCTCTGCTGAACTACAGTACTTCATTATAATGCTGTTTTGTCACACATTTTACATTTATCAAAAAATTGCATGATTGTAGTTTGCCATACTGCAGTTTGGATAATATTGTGAATAATGTAATTGTGCAGCCCTGCCTCATAACTGTAATGGGAACTTGATTAACTTGTCGAGTGTGTCTGAATCTCACACCTTTGTTGTCCGCAGCAATGAACCCCAAGATGTTCTCATGTCTGAGCATGATTGTCTGATAAATCTCTGCTTCACGAAACCACGACCTCTCGTCCCTAGAGGAGAAGATCTTCACCGCCACATCCTCTCCTCGCCACTTTCCCCGCCACACCTCCCCAAATCGTCCCTTCCCAATGGTCTCCTGCAGGACAATGGTCCGAGCTATAGTGCGCTGGACCAGCAGTGGCAAACCTGCAAGACACAAAAAAATATTATTTCCGCCAGAAAAACCATGTGCTGATATTGAATCATTACATTTTGCTTGCTTCACATTTATTAAGATCTTGATGACCCAGAATGAATCAAACAGTCTGTGTCAGTATATATCTGTTACACCGGTTGGCAGCATTTCCCTTACCTGATCCAGAGCCTGAGGTGCTCATGTCATAGATCAGCTCTTTGAGACATTTATCCGGGGACATTAGCATCTGGTCATCCAGAGGCTCCTCTGGGTCCTGCTTATGTGCTCTGCTGTAGGCACAGCGGTGGCCCTGCACAACGAACACACCCAGCAGGATCCCCACACACAACAGGCAGGAGGGCACCAGGATCACCACAGCGAGCTGCAGCCTGCTCCAGCCGGGTTCTTCCAAAGGCCTCTCTGATAAAACACACACACAAATAAAACATGACAAACGTGACAATGTCGCCAATATTGCCTGCATATCATTTGTTCCCCTATGATTGTTGCACCCTCTGGTGGTCATTGTTGATTATGGCATTAAGGGTGTTGTGTGAGTGTCAATTGAAATGATCTTCCCATGTGGACAATATATTATCAGTGGTGTTTAACTACTGCTGAAGTATGCTGATGTACTATAATTTAGAAAAAACACATTACTGACTTTAACACAAGCTCAGCAAAATTAAGCCATCACCCTGTTGACGAACGGAAATTTAGAGAGATGGGAATGGTACATTTGGCAGAAGCAAAGTCTGTCTGCAGTCTGCCCATAAATGTCATTAATCAAAGGTAATGAAGAGACACAGCAGCAGAATCTTTTAGTGCCAATAAAGGTTTCTCCAGAAAGTAAAAACCAAAATTTATTTTGTTTTTCCTCCCTTCTTCATTTACAATAAGTGGCATGCACTAATCAAAACAGGTGCACCATGAGACCTTGTAATAAATTGTGGGTTTGGCAAAACAATGTAACCTGACATTTCCATCTCTGACCTTCATTTTGTCTGTGGGTGGAGAGAGGAGACCTGGACACAAACAAAAATAGCTAAGCTGGTGGGCGCTGTGATAATATGAGATTTAAGGATATACTGACGAAATAACACACAGTGAACACTGTAATGGCTCTGTAAATGGCAGGTATGGAGAAATACAAAGACTTTTGTACTATAAAAGAGAAGATACACACTTGCTTTGACAACTTACATCACTGTAGCCTCATATTAACTTCAGCTGTGACTGAACAGAAGAGACTCTGTCTGTCTTACCATGAGACACACACCCAGGTCTGATAAGCCTGTGGTGGGCCTGCCTCAGCTCAGGGTGTCTTGTAATAAATGGCCAAAACACCCAGAGATGTCAAGGTACATAACTGAAGATGTGTCATAATGGTAGCAACATCATCTAGTGGTCATCTTTGAGAACAACCTAACTGCAACACCCAGTCATACTACTCAATCTAAAACTTCAGGAATGATTGTGGTAACTAATAACTCTTTATACACAAGGGCATGTGAGTACTGAAACATTACAGACTTAAAAAACCTAATAAAGTAGTTCCATGTTTCTTTAGCCTTTTCATTCTCTCAAATCCCCAAAGCATTAAAATGTCCTCACCAGGAGTCATTGAAACATGCAACATCTGCAGATGGCTCAATGCGCAAAGCAACCCATCGTGAACTAAACCACAGTTTCCTAAGACATCTTTAGCCTTTTACCTAAATACATTTCCTGCCATGTGTCCAACTGGAGCTCAGCAGATATGGTGCAAAACAAGACTCTCCTCTCCTCTGACCCAGTGGCAAAAGGCCTTCCAAAAACTGAAACTTTTCTTTGACTTTAGGTGACTCTGCATGGGTCAATGAGGTCCTTTCAGCAGCAATTTCTACTTTGAAACTGTTTGTTTAGTTTGGCAAATGTTTGGAAATTAGGGATAGAAGAACACAGAGGCTATCCATGTCAAGATGTTAAAGGATAACAAACTAAACTATAAATACAGCCACACAAAATCACTATAACTTCACCTTATAACTGTAAATGCATTCTACTATTTAGGGCTTTATAGAAGTCACAGCAAGGGCACTGCTGAACAGTAAGTCTTGATGTATACAAAATAAACAACACATTGGATGAGCTCACATGCTGATACTTAGAGCGGTGGAACAGATTGATTCTGGTGTCCTCATTCACAGTCAACACCATCACAGCCTGAGGGTGCTGCCCTGACCCATCTCATCAACGGTCTGCAGCACTTTTTACGCTTTAAATCTCCCGTATCACCTCTACATTTTATGAAAGTGACCACTGACTGACTATTTTAGATGAATCAATCAATGGCGTTGGGAACACTTAATTTTCTTAGTTTTGCCCTTCGTTTGGTGTCAAAGATTAAGCATGGACTAATGTTTATTTAACTCTGAGAGTAAATAGTGTCAGAAGCTTGAAAATTCAGTATGAGACACTGAGATCTAGTGCTCATACCGGTATGTAGCACCCCAATATATACAGCAGTGTTTCCCTTTTGTAGGCCTACAATTGATACCAATCATGCATCCCCTGGATAGATTTGTTTTTACATTTGTTGTATTTGCTTTTTATACCTTTACTATTAATCAATTAGCTGACTGAAACAGATAACTGATCAGCAACAATTCTAATAATCGATTTATTATAAAGAATCCAATGTGAATATTTGTTGGTTTTCTTCGTCCTGTACGATAATAATCTGAATGTCTTTGGGTTTTAGACTGTTGGTCGAACAAAACAAAGCATTTTTAACTATTTTCTGATATTTCTGTTGATCCTTTAATTGAGGAAATAATTGGTATATTAATAATAGTTTCAAATTTAAAAAAAAAAGAAATTGGTGTTCGCGAGCACCATAATAAATATGAATGTAATGAATGTAAATATCAATGTTTTACAGGTTCACAAACATACGATACAACTGTTATGCTGCCAAAGGGAATCCAATACCCGGCCACTCAGAAGCAGCTCAATATTGGGAACTATAATGCAGTTACAAAGTGGGGCTTCAGTTATATCTTCTTCAAGATGCACTAATTAATTAATCATTTTCATATGAACAATTGGTCATAAGACTATAATGTGTAAAGGCTTGCTCACTGTGACAAACCCACAGATAATCATAATTTTGCAGTTCCCCTCAGCTCTAGGAAGTGTTTTACAGCCGGCAACTTTACTGATTCATGGAGTTTAACTGCTCTCCCAACATCTTTTCTACCTGCTGAACAAAGTCTCACACTTAACAGCTAAAGAGAGATGTTTTTCTCATGAGTGGAGAACAAAAACAGAGCTACAAAGTGAGCTAATATTGGACTTCATGAAGTGGACAGAAACTCAACTCTAAACACACCTAAATGTCTCTCCATGTCTAACACAATATGTCAAATGTGTGTGTTGTTCAGCCAGTTGTTAAGTTCTGCCCCTAGCCTGCCAAAAAAAAACCCTAATACATTGGATTAATGCAGCTTTAACAAATCTGGTTTGCATTCTTTAGGAATGGTGTGTGCCTATAAGGTGAACTATAACTGGATATGTAAAATACAACCAATTAAAAAAATGATTTATGTATTATAAGTGTAACACAGCAAAACCACCATGAATCACCATGCTAACAGTAACTCTGACCAGTGTTTTCCACTTTGCGTTGTATATCCACAGGTGTACGTAATCCCCAACTTCCACCCAGCAGACCCATGAGAGGCTTTTAACTTGCAGTAGGACTACATGGCTGACGAAGTATTTATTTATAAATCAGGGGAGGGAGGGGGAGTATCGCTAACTGCCGTCCCACTGCCTCTGCCAGATTTGTTATGTCACAGGATCTAGTAGGATCAGCATCCACCTCGTCTAGCCAGGGCCAGAATGAGTGGGAAATCCCACAGTGATTGGGCTGGTGTTGCTGTCGAATGAATACTGTAACTACTGAGCAATGTGACATTAACTGACTGAATCCGTCTTTCTTCTGTTTCATACCTTTTCTGTTTCCTGCAACAAGCTATAAAATACGTATCTGTATTGGTCTTAATTAGAGAAACATTCATTAAAATATTAACTTCCACACGTAGAGGCAAGATTGCATCAGTTCCAAAGCACCGCAGTGGCTGTACCTGGGTGTAGGTGCATAGTCTCGTTGTTGCAGAAGTCAGTGAAGCAGCAGTTCCTCTTGGAGACGTTTCGGGAGCTGTAGCAGAAGACCTGGCCCTTCATCTCGGAGGGCGACAGGCAGGACTTGACCGTCTCCTCCTTCCCGTCAATCAACATCACAGAGTTCCAGCAGGCGCCGTCTGCGCCCGTCTCACAGGTGTTGTTGGCACACAGCTGGCACACACACTTCAGACCTGAAACACATAGCATTACTCAAGATGGTGAGATAACTATTTTCTTTACACAAACCTTCTGGACACCAGTTAGTTCACTGATTTATAAAATGGCTGAGGGGGGAAACTAGACACTACTAGACAAACAGTTTAATTCACTAACTGTCACTGCCAGTGGCCTTTAACTCTTTAGACGCAGGACTATTACGTAAAAAGGTCCATGCTCTTAAATGGCTGGAGGTGGAGGAACCAGAGTAATGCCTCTTAGTTTAACACCCAGATAATCTTATGTTCTACTTGGAGCTGCTGTCATGCTTTGTTTGATAAGACTGTGAGTGATTGATAAGCAAGGTTGCACTGCTTGTTCACCGGAAAAAACCTGGAAGTGTAAGAATATCATATGTTATACAATTAAACTATTTTTAATATATGCAGTTGATCAAATGTGTAACAGCCGAGAATAAGGTAAGTAAAGGTCTCTTCAATGACAGAATATAATTCATATTTGTTGTAGTAAAATATTTATCATTAACTTTACTGACAAAATTTAAACTTTTTGATAATTTGAAGGATTTTTAAAATTTTGACCACTGAATATTAAGTGACAACCTATTTGTACTTTATTGCAGTTTAGTATGCTTGGCGATAAAAAAAAAAGTCTCAAGTTTAATGGGTGTCTATCAGTGTATATAAATGACAGTATGTCACCGCTTTACACGGGTTTGTTCTTGTCAGTTTCACATCAACAAAAGTGAGAAGTGCTTTAGGTAATATAACTTTCTAAAGAAGCACATGTCTGGATACAGTTCCTTCTTGACATCTGTTGAAAGGGACTATTGCTTTTTCTGACCCATCGTAAACCTCCTTGAATATTTCTGATATGACTTCAATTTAAATTGATTTTATGTTCGGTACCACTGAATGTGAAGTCCTCATGAGTAGTGACAGTTATGGAAGTACATGTTATTCATATTGCACACATCAAAGAGATATTGTGTGCGTAGGTAGCCATACACTTAAATGTATAGAAATAACAAGGATAAGAAATACAGGAAAAATAACCAAGACATAACATTACAAAATAAAGTCCTATGATGAAAAACCTTAACTCATTATAATAATCTGTGCTTTTTAAAGGTTTTTTAAGGTTTGAACTTGGGAAATATCAAAACATAATAAATCTGGCATTTCGGACACCCCCCCCTTTGGGGCCTTGAAGTGGAGCAATCTAAGCATGTATACTGCACATGTATTGCAATACTGTTTCCAAGAAGGGAAAAAAGCATGAATTAATCTTTTCCTGATCTTGATCAGACATTAAACTACATTTCACAACTGCATGCAACAACATCTGGATGTGTGCTTGAGATGAAGGTCAAAGTTCATGCTGTGAACACAACTGACTCCTATTTTTGTAACTGGGGTTTGAATTTAAATGTTTATGGTCCAATGCATAGATTCAGTCAGTGACCAAAATGTATCTTTTAGAATGAGATTTAAAGATGTTTTGTCCTTCAGAGTTGCTCAGCAACTCAGTAAGGATGACAGGCTGTTAAGGTTAAGGTTACACAGCTTAGATATAGATAAAGATACAGTTGTGTGTTATCCATGTGACAGTTAACAAAAAATGTGCTAATTATATAAAAAAGGCTAACTGAACAGGATGTGACCAAGGATCGATCCCTGGGCTGCACTGCAACAAAACCGTCCTATTGAACAAATGTGAAGATACATAATTGAGAGTCATAATTTAGATAAACCAACCAGTGTTGTAAATTACCACATTTGTTCTCAGAATATGAAAAAACAGGCTTTTTTTCCTCTAGTGATTTTGTTTTTTTTGTGACACGAAATAGATAATAAAAATCTAACTTTTTATAATTTTGCTCATAGCTGTTTATTAATGAAAAAGAAATACTAAGCTTGTATTTAAATTTTAAGTTTTGTATTTTATTTTTAATAACCGTTTCTGAAAAGAAAGTTACCAAAAGATACACTGGTGATGTTGAAGTCATGCCATGGTGCAGTTCATTTTATAGCCTAACGTTTGCTTTTTATTTCTGGCGATTGCATTTACGCTTCAAGAATCCTATAAGTTTTTCATTTTAGAAAATTATCTTTGGTTGTTTGTCAAAGGAACCAGGGTGACGCTAACTTCCAGGTTGGCCAACAACAATACGTCATCCCTGCTGCACTCAGGGGTTGGGGGATGCCTGAGTGAAATGTTACAAAAATGTATTTTCTTTTAGAGCATACCTTGAGAGTTGCTTGGCAACAACTCTCTCAAGGCCAATTATTATTATATGAGGTTTGAATATACTGTAGCTCTGTAACTGAGGTATAACAAGGTTGGTCTTTTTAAAATACATTTTAAAGCAGATTAATGACTGGTGTATGTGTTTAACTGCTTATTTAATCATGTATGATGGCAGGAAAGTAATATATTACAAATACATTCAATTTTTTCTCCATTGCTTACCATTATTAGAAACAAAAGGACTGGTTTGGCTAATAGTTGCTATAAAAGACCAAAACTGTGTTCAGTGCAAAATATATGCTCCAAACATGTGCTCTCAAAATGTATCAATCAGTAAAATCACATACTGGTGTCTTAGAAAATGCTTGAAAAACTCCACAAACATCAAAAAGAAAAATAATAATTTTTCAACACAGTACATCAAACTTTACGTTTACCCCTTAATATCTTACCTGTTATTTATATCAGGTCATAGATTTTTAACCAAATCAGATGTATTAGTCTAATATGACTAATATAAAAAAGTTGGGCAACTGTTGCCTCCACACAATTTCCTAATTTTCATATTTACACGTCTCACAGCTTAATCTTTCTGCTTCAATTTTTATAATATACAACAGGTGTACATCCTAAAGAGTCCCTTCACATGTGATTTCATATCGATTATTGATTCACCTCTGCATATTCTGACATAGTGAATGAGTGAGGGAAGACCACAACCAACATTAATGAAAGTTAAGTGAATGCATTAGACGTCTAACGGCATCATGGAGAGAAAATGTTATGGAATCGGAGCTTTAAGGTACAATTAATGCAATACATTTTGAAATCTTTGCTTTTGTAGCTGTTTGTCCCTGAAGAACTCCTTTGTGGACTTGGTTTTGTAACTGGAGCAATTATCTTGGGAAAAATGTCACACAAAAAGTGAAATCCAATCAGTGACTTTGAGGAACTTTGTTATTTTAAATCAAACAAGCTGCGTATTTCCACACATCTTTGAACGTGTGCACACATTTTCTATCATTCTCCAACAACTTCAAACAGGTTCAGATAACTCTGCAGCTCCCCTCAATATGATACCAGTAATGTCCTAGGTAAACAGAGTGAAAATTAAAAGCATGATCAAAATACGTCACTAAGAGTCAGTTAGAACTGAATTCCTTCTCTGAGACACTACATGAGGAGAAATGAGTTGTATGGATAAAGTATTTTGAACAACCTTTTAACTAATTATTCAGATGAAATTCTAATTAAGAGAAGTGTAGTGCTGAGAAGTTTACATTTACCTTTCAACACACGTCTTTAGCAAGAATTGGTTGTTATGACAGTATTAGTGCCATACTAATACTATTTAAAGAGATATAGATATCCTTTATTTGAACTCTGCATTACAGCCTGAGGACCACCGCTTGATAACTGATGATTATTTTCATTATGTATTAATCTGCTGATTATTTTCTTGAATAATCATTTGGTCTGTAAAATGTAAGAAAATTATGAAACATACAAATCACACCTTCCTGAAGCCAAAGGTGACGTCTTCAAATTGGCTTTTTTGTGTGCCCAGCAGCCCAGAACCCAAAGATATTCAGTTTACTATCATATAAGGAAAAGCTGCAAATCTGCGTTGGAGAAGCTGGAACCAGAGAATGATATTGGATGATATATCTGGATATGACTGATACGAGTATTTGATTATCATACAGCTGCAGCTTCATTTTCTGTCAGTTGCACTTTGAATTTAATCAAACAAATCAGATTTTCATTATTAAACAACTTTAAACTTAAAGTAAAAGTCTCTAGAAAAGAACATTCAGATCTCACTAAGATGTGAATAAAACATTTAAAGTTTTGTCCAAAACAATGACACCATCTTACAGCATGAGTATACTCACTGGGACTCACAATAATCTTCATATGCCTATTATAACTATTATAATAACTATTTTTCTACCAAGCACTCTGTTTTCATTTTTAAGTGCGCTATTTTGAAACACTTAACACACATGGTCGATGAACACCTACTGCCCTCGGAGTGACCTAACATGGAAAAAAGGTTCTTTGAGTTTTAACATCAACATAAATAAATCCCAATACAATCTTAATATAGCCTATTTGTAATCTCTGAATTTATAAAGTTGCATTAATAAACTTTCCCTGGTATAAAATAACATAACATAATTCTTGCAAACAGAGTTAAGAGCTTTCTGAGAACAGGCTACAATACAGGCGATTTAAAAAGTCAGCGGAACTAACACTGATCTTTATCCTAGTTACCCAACCATTCGTATAGTTAATAACTCTCACATAAAACCCTTAAAACAATGTCATTTATAAAAGGAGTGCATTAGATCAACGCAATGCAAGCTGAGTGAATCTGTCAGCTACTGTACCTGCAGTCAGCTGGGCGACAGACAGAACGATCAACGCCGCTTGAAAGCTCCGCTTCCCGGGACAAGTCATTGCCAGAGCAGCATCTGCTCCTTCTCCACTTCACCGTTTTACACAGCTACTCTACAGAAAAACACAACATTATTACACATTGCGGTAAAGTCCGTCGGCCACGCACCCCGCACAAATGCCTCGCAGTAAATGCGGGTAGAAAACTGCAAAACGCAATGAGAGGTTTTGCTCCGCCTCTGTTGACTGGGATTAAGAGGATTAGTGCTGCAGACCTCTGATAAAGACATGTGAATGAGAGCCAGAGAGAAAGTGTGTTGCACATCCATTTAACTGCTGCAGGTCCAGTAAAACACCACCTCCTGTCTGCATAATGAATATGGAAATTTCTTCAAATCACGGAGGTGTCACTTAAGTGATTACTGTGCAAGGAAACCAGGCCAAACGGTTCACATTATACTGAATAAATGAATGCAATCCAGAGTTCATATAAGGACACTGTGACTACTGAACTCCCAACACAAAGGGTCCCAACGACAACATGAATATTAGTGATTGTTTTGGTGGAGATGCACAGACTCTTCACCAGCCCCGTGTGTACATACTTGTGGGCAAATAAACGGACTATAACATGCATTGGTTTCCATGAAACAGCTATGCATGGATTAACCTGTTTCGGGTTACTGGGGCAAAACATTTTTTCTTGTGCCCCTGCAGTGTATGTACCCTGTCTCCTTTGAGTAACCCATCAAGTACAGTGCACATGGCAGGCTATACATGGCAGCCTCATTATATGCCCAGTACTCCTATAATGCAAAACTACCTGCCCCAGGTTTTGTATTGTTAATTAGCTTCACTAAACACAAAATCATTTAGAGAATGTGCACCATGTGAGCCCAGTAGAAGCTAAACTAATGAAGGTCATATATCTAGATTGCCAGACAGGGAGGTAATAATGCGGGATCCACTTTTGTTGATACTGTACTTAGGAGGTGCAAATTCCCTAACAAATTTTCAGTTCACATGTTTGTGGCCCCTGAGCGTCTGGCAGTTGCCTGGTTGGTAATCCAGTCTATTTTGCACCCCTGCGGCCCCTGCAACTCCTCTCCCTGGACGTGAGCAGAACTCAGGTCAGCAAAAGTGAAGAAACCAGCCTAGAAAGATCGTGTCCAACCGAGCAGAGAGGGAGGTAACGTTTTCAGGTAGTAAATACTAAATGAGTCTGCTGTACATTACACTTAGTGCAATGTTCAACTCACCTGGATGTGGTAAGTTATTTACTGCAGGTCATATGTTGTGTTTCTGCTGCTCAGGCTCCATAGCAACCAACAGGGACGGTGAATGAATGAACTGCAGACAGTTGTTGTTGATATAACAACAGAATCCAGAAACCTTGACTCTATTATTAGTTCTGCAAACACAACTAATACTGTAACTTCTGCTCTCTTACTGTACTGCTTGCTGAAAAGCTTAAAAAAAGTTAGCCAAGCAAATAAAATGTTGGCAGGCAATACTCATAAAGGCACTATCAATAGATCAGGCCAAAGGATCAACACAGGTAATAAAAAATTTAAAAAACTGAATACAGACACAGACACAGTGAGTGGAAAGTGTGAAATGTCCCTTGAACAATTTAAAGATGACTTGAATGTGTAATTACCAATAAGTTAATGCAAAGAAAGCACTGTTGATTCCTCATCCTTATTAATGATCTAAATTAAAATAATATATTGATTGCAGCCTTTCTAGACAGTGGACACCAATTACCACTTCTCCCTCTCAGCTGTAAGTACATAGAAGTCCATAGTATGTATACAAACCCTGCACAGAACTTCGGGGGGGGAAACACAACTGAAACTTTGTACAGGATGGATCAAATAACACTGAATATGAGCACAGTCTTTAGAAAGTCTGACAGCTGTTGATACATGCAAGCAGAGCTGCACTGTCAGACATCCACTGTTGTGTTTCGATCATCTGGCCCATAACGCCACTGGCATATTAATCAGTCTGAGAACCTCCAGGAGCCCAGTTTCTGTGCATGAAGTTTCAGTTTACAGCTTGCACAGAAAATGCTTGGGCTTTTGACCTTTTCCAAATAAATATATATTAATTTGTTGCATTTTCAGAGCAGATGTCAAGCTTTTTTACAATACGGAAATAGTTTATTGTGTAGAAATAATTCTGTGTTAGTGAATTAATTTAGGATGAACTAAAATTTTGTACCTGTACTGACAGAAAAAATGGCAGCCACAGTAATACATAATTTGGGGTTTAGCTAGAAGATAGAAGGCTGACGGCTGCAATAGTTCACTACATTTAAAAAGGTAAATGAGTTGCCCCCTACTATATACTGTGGACATAGATTCCTATTGGACTCATAAATCACAAGAGAATGGTTAGAAGGGGGTAGATAGGGTTTGATGGTACTCAAAGAATTACTGATTACATGATTACTGTAATAATATCGGCTAAACATCTAAGACCAGGAAGAACGAAATAAAAATGATTAGAGAAATAAAAAATGTTTTAGAAACACAGTTAAACAACAGACAACAGTTTACAGCCATTCTAGCAGCTCTGTTAGGCTGTTCTGATATTTGCTAATTAGCACTTAACAAGTAGTACAATAGTACAGCTGAGGATGATGGGAATGTTATTATTTTTTCTGGTATTTGGTCATAAGCCAAAGTGTTGGATAAATTAAAGGTTTGCACTGATGATGGTGGTACATGAAAAGTCAGAGGATCACCAAAGTGATTTCAACTCAGCTCGAGAAGTCGGAACCAGATTCCATAATAATTCATCTAGTAGTGGTTGACACTTCACAATGTCAGCCTAATGGGGGCGCTGGAGGAAAAGTCAGGGCATCACCAAAGTTTGTGCCAATCACATAGACTGTATAATTAAAAGGTGATGTCACCCATAGATTTCTGAAGAGCAGCGGTGAAGCTCAGTGTGGTCGGCTCTGGCTGTCACCATCTCGGCAGTCCTGACTCCGCTGGCTCCCGGCTTATCAAAAAACAGGCAAATATGTGGCACACTGGTGGAGCTGAGGCGGGTTGAATGAAGCCTGGTTACTGAAAACAGCTGCCCCTGACAGCACCCACCTTTCACTCCAAGTGACCCTGAATTATGCACAACTCTAAGTCTTTATATAATTTTAAAAGATGAGTTATATAAAAATTCACCCTTCGTAGTGTTAGTGTTCAAAAATGGGGGAATTTAGCTATACATACTGAAACCATTTTTTGTACCAGGCAGTAAACATCTGCCAGCCACTGAGATTACCGCTTGACCAATCCTTAATAGAGATGTAGAGATATTACAGGATAAGTTAATACTTTGACCTGCTGGGGGTGCTACAGGGAAAGTCAGGGGATCACCAAAGTCCTTAGGACACCGTGTCTGGGGCACCACGGATATGTTTACCAAATGTCATGGCAATCCAGCCAAAAGTAGTCAAGACAACATCGCTATAAAACCAAAATATTTTAACCTGCTGGTGGCATAAGAGGAAGTGTTACAGGACGTCTGAGGATCACTAAAGTCAGTAGGATTCATCCTCCATGAATGTCTGTCGCAATTACACCTTAATAGACCTAATAGCTGCAATATTTGAGTCTGGACCAAAATGGTGGACCGACAAGACAAACAAATGAGACAGATAAAACACATTTTTTCTATTTAATTAATATAAATCACTAATTGATATAAAATGTTAAAGAAATAAAAAAGGCTGAAGTTTGACTTCATTTACTTGACAATGCACGCATTAAGACAACAATGCACGCTTTAAGACAGTATACAGGCTTTACAGGCTTACTTACAGCTCTCTGGAGGCATAGACTTGAGCATCATCTAGCAGATATTTTATTTGTTCTTTTAGCATTTGTCTCTGTAAAGCTGAAGAAACAAAACATAGAACAGGTACATAATTCAATGTAAAATCCATGGTGATATACAAAAGGTTTGCGACAGAGTACCTTTAGTTGGACGATATCTCAGGAAAAGAACAGTGCCATTGACGCAGCCATACGACTATATGTTATAGGATTCGTGAGATCCCAAGAAATTGTTCTGACAGCATTGTAAACAGAGGTGACACAAAGTAAAACATAACACTGCTTGCTGTGATCACTGTTTAAGAAAGTATACAGAATAAATTGGCAAGTGGATCCACCATAATGCAGATGAATAATGCAGTACAATTAAAGAGATAAAGTGAAATTGCTAATATGTTCAGACATTTTTTTCCAACTAAAAAATGTGTCCAACAAAATCTGCGGTTTTTAACAAAAGCAAGCCTACTCAAATGCCCAGGTAACAGTTTCTTCCTTGAAGAACATTGCTAACAGTCCAGCTCCTATGTCATAAGTTGAATAGATATTTTCCTATTTCCAAGACCATTGGCAGTCTCAAAAATGCCCGGTAAGCCATCTTTGGATGCCAAAATGTGTCCTGCCAAGTCTTTTAAAATAAATATAGGTCTGTGCCACTATAAGGGCACTGAACCCATCGAGTCTCTTGTCTTTTGAGATTTTTCTCTAAGATGTTCCACCCTCTGGATGTCTTCAAAGGCCTTTAGTATGTCTGCCTCTTCTTCGTGAGTCAGGCTCAAATGTCTGTTTTGATTTTGTCCAGAGAGTTGTCGATCTTTGTGAGAGTCTTTTTGATGCGTAACGCTGTTAATCTGGCTGATGGATTTTGGTACCAGCACTCCTTCATGAGTTTCGCCATGGAGGTTAAAGTCTGAAAATGAAATAAGATGTCAAAATTATTTAATATTATTAATATTATAGCAACGCTTTTATTTGTGGATATCAAAAGGACGAGGACCTGAATTATGTGCTACTTAATGACAGTTTGAATATTACATACTGGGTCTGAAAACCATCTGTTTGGGATGTTGGGCCTCTGCTGGTCCACGCACACAACCTTCTTCATATCCTCAAAACTGGGATCACTTGGGACCACATCATGAAAAGGTGGCTTGTAGTCCTCTACAATGCCTACGAGAAGAGCAGAGCACGAAGCAATTTAGTTTCAAGATCACATATACTGATGAATAAATAACATAAAATACATTTAGGTTTATAGAAAAAAAAAAGATTCATGTTGTGGTTTGGCTGTTTCACCCTTAACTTGCTCTCAAGTGCAGCTGTGGGACATAATTGAGATATGAGGTTTCTGTGATGGGGGTAAATCAATATGTTAAGTGTTGCTGAAAGCCCAGTTCCTAGTACAAAGCAATAAACCTATTTGA